CCTTAAAATGGGAACAAATTGATATGTAAATGTGAAAATATGTTTTCTTTACAATAAGTAATGCACTAAAAAATACAGCCTATTGTTTGTATTTGCTGGTTAGAAAGGGGGTCAAAGAAGTAAGATGGCTGAAATTTACATAAGTAATATTTCATGGTTTTAGAATTTTCAAAGCACGTGAGGTAAGGAAGAAGGAAACTTTTACCCAGAATCCTAGCAAATCACCACTGTTAAGTTATAATCACTGCCTCCTGAATTGTTGAGGAGTCTGTTGTCCATATTTTTATTAGATTTTTGTTTTCTCTCCCAAGTTAATATTGTATTTAGATATCATGTAGTCAGCCAAAAATTTAAATGTTTATCTCTGGGTAAAAAACATTTAGAAAAATGTATTCAGTGTATCTAATATTGACTTGGAAAAAAGATTTAATGTAAAGAAAAAAACCTTTATATTAATACTAAAATAAAGTAGAGATCTAATGTAAAAAAAAATTTATATTAATTGAGTAACATCCTCATGGTGAGAAGTACTGTATTAAATATAAACCCATTATGTTGTAAGTTAAAAAAAAAATTCAGTTCAGTAACCAATACCAAGCACAGTCAAGATGTAGATGGTGCCCTCTCCTCTTCTCCAAATTACCCTTTGCCCTTTTGTAATCTACCCTTCTGACCCCTCCACCAGCCCATGGTAACCACTGATCTGCTGTCTCTATTGTCTTCCTCTGTTGCCTAGGCTGGAGTGCCGTGGCCTTATCATAGCTCACTGAATCCTTGAACTCCTGGGCTCAAGCAATCCTCCTGCCTCAGCCTCCTGAGTATCTGGAAGTACAGGAGTATAGCACCACTCTTGCTTATTTTTTTTTATTTAAAATTTTTTTTTTTTTTTGGTAGAGAGAATGTCTTGCTAGGTTTTCCAGGCTGGTTTTGAACTCCTGGCCTCAAGTGATCCTCCCACCTTGGCCTCCCAAAGTGCTGGGATTATAGACATGATCCACTGGGCCTGGCTGCATTTTCTTTTTTTCTTTTTTCTTTCCTTCTTTCTTTCTTTCTTTCTTTTTTTTTTTTTTTTTTTGAGACAGGGTCTCTCTCTGTCACCCAGCTAGAGTGCAGTAGCACATTCATATCTCACGGCAACCTCATACTCCTGGGCTCAAGGGACCCTCCAGGCTCAGCCTCCTAAGTAGCTGGGACTACAGGCATGCACCATCATGCCCAGCTAATTTAAAAACAATTTTTTTAGAGATGGGATCTCACTATGTTGTCCAGATTTGTCTCAGACTCCTGAGTTCAAGCGATCCTCCCACCTTGGACTCCCAAAGTTCCAGAGTTACAGGCATGAGCCACAGTGTCCTACCCCATAAATTTTATTTAACACATTTCATCTGTAAACATTCCCATATGTGTCTCAAAAGATATGGACTCTACTTAATGTAACGACAGACTGTAATTACACACAGACACAAAGTGAAAACTCAATAATACGTGAATATAATCAAATATCCAGTCATTCTTCAAGTTTCCCCAAGTCTTCCACAAATATCTTCTTTACAATTCATGGAGATATAAGTTTGTGAGGTATTTTTAAGGCACAAAAGACAACATTGGTCCTGGTGGTACTTCTGCTCTTTCATTTTCCTAACTTGTTGTAGAGAATGGCTTCCAATCTCTGTTCATTTCATTCATTGTAAGTAGGTATAATCATCAGGTGACTTCACTGTGTATATGTCACATAGTACATCCTTACCTGATTATTTCCATATTAACATAATAGTGTTTTGTAATAAATTATTAATACTTTCCTTTCCCAGGTGCAACATGGCAAGACCCCATCTCTACAAAAAATGAAAAAAAAAATAGCCAGGCTTGTTGGCATGTGCCTATAGTCCCCGTTTTTTGGGAGGCTGAGGCAGGAGGATCCCTTGAGCCCAGGAGTTTGAGGCTGCTGTGAGCTATGATGGTGCTACTGGTCTCCAGCCTGGACCATAGAGTGAGAGCCTGTCTCACAAAAAAAAATGTAAAACAACCCCACTTTTCTGTGTTATATTACTGCTCAGACTGATTTTTTATATGTTTTGAAATTGTGCATGGAAGGCACGTCATCTAGGAATTTCAGTTCAGGGTAGTAACGTGGCTCACAAAATGTTGCCCAAAAGGGGAGTTGGAACCACTGCCCTGCACAGTTCCCCAAGCAATCGGGAGGTTCAAAGGCATCATTTCGAGGAGGACCAAAGGCCAGGGCCTGAGCTACAAAGAAGAATGACGACCGTCAGCAACTCTCCCGCTTCTCCTGCTCAGCTCATCCATAGCGCCCAACCTGACGTCACCTCTGGGACACACAGAGGAAAAGAGATGTCACTTGGCCCTCTGTGTTTTGAGGCTGCAAAGGAAACACCCTGTCCCTCAGATCCTAGGGAAAAAATGACACAGTGGGTGGGTGTCTGAGGGGTGAGGGGACCCGAAAGTCTGTTCCAAGGTGGGGAAGCCTGGGCTGACACCCGTCTGCCTTGTGGAAGCCACTGGGGTTGGGAGTGAGTGCAGGGCACGCAGGGGAGGGGGTCCCACTGGGAGGTGGAGACCTTGTGCCAGCGTGGCAGGGGGAGCCCAGTGTGGACAAGCACCATCTGTAGCTTGAGCAGATCTGAGTTGAAGGGGGCGCGGTCCTTGCAGGGGCTCAGTGAGCAGATATTTCCCCTTTTCCCCCCGTGTGGTTTCTGAGGGGCCACGGAATTTTGACCATTTTCCCTAAATGCCTATCTCTGGGTAGCACAGGTGTCATCAGAGTCGATTTGAACGGGATTCCATTCTCACCACTCTGAGTCATCCTGTGTTCCCGTCCCTGACGAATCCCGCCTCCTCTTCGTTCCCAGATGTGGGGTCAGAGGAGCAACACTGTCGCACAGCCCCAGCCAAATAATTCCGGTCTGCTGTTGAAAGACCCATCTCTATTTTCTTTCATACCTCTCAGTGCTTTTTCACTAATAAAAAACCCAACTTTTTATTCAAGTACAATCATCTGTCTTTCTGTGTCTGCAGGGTACTGGTTCCAGGACCCCCCAAGGATACCAAGATCTCAGGACCTTATATCAAGTGGCTTAGCATTTGCATATAACCTACGCACATCCCCCCGCACTTTAAATCACCTCTAGATTTTGCCTGCGATACCTACTACAAGGTACGTGCTGTGTGAATAGTTGTGGTACTGTATTGTTTAAGAAATACTGACAGGGAACAAAGTACATGCTCAGGAGAGACACAATTCTTAAAAAATATTTTTCATCCCAGTCTGGTGGAATCCACGGATGCGGAACCCACGGATAGGAAGGGCCGACTGCTTAACATAGAAGCAAAAGGGAGCAAAGCACGTGTACACAGTTAAATGAATGTTCACGAACTGAACACATCTGTCTCACCAGCCTCAGGCCAAGAAACAGAATGTGAGTGGCACCTGGAAGCTGCTGACACCCCTTCCAGCCACCACCCACCCAAACCGCTAGCCCCAGAGATCAGTTTTGCCTGTTCTTTTTTTACTGCAGAGAAGAAAACCTTTTTTTTTTCTTTTTTTAAATTTCAGAATATTACCTGGGCACACATGTTTTGGTTACATAATGCGCTTTTGTACAGTTTGAATTAAAGCTGTAAATGTGCCCTTCACCAAGTTAGTGTGCGTTGTATCCAATAGATGTGAATTTACCAATCCCCCCTCCCCCCTTCCCCCTGCTTCATTTCCCTGGAGTTTTACTTCCATAAGTGCACATGAGTGTAGATCGATTAGTTCCAATTTGGTAGTGAGTACATGTGGTGTTTGTTTTTCCATTCTTGCGATACTTCACTTAGAAGAATGGAACAAGAAAAGCTTGAAGGCCGCTTCCGTATATTTTTCTGTTGCCCCGTCTGTGAGCCCCACACGTTGCTGGGAGCATTCTCTCTGCCCCACCCTGCTGCTCCTATGTATGAGAAAGCCACAGGAATGGCAGGTTTGATTCCTACCATGGAATGGATGATCTGCTCCTGTTTTCTTTGGAGTAGCAGTGTGGGCGTGGCCTTCTGAAATGGATGGCCCAGTGACATGGGTAGCTGAAGGGGGCATGTTCTGGGGACGAGGCTATTACCTGCTACCCAAAGGGTTTGGATGCAGGGGTACATGACAGGCATAGGTTGAGGGCTTCTGTCTGTCCGTGTCCTTTGCATTCTGTGGTCATGGGCTCTCAGGACTACTTGTCTTCCTATAGGGTCCCCAGCCCTGACGTCCTGCAGAGTAAGGCTGCTTGGTCGGAGCCAGCCCTGGGGACAAAAGGCCAGGGTCATGCTGGCACTCAAGCCCAGCTTCCCCAGCTCGGGCACCTCCTCTGAGTGCCAGTGGCCTCTTGGGCCTGCCTGAGGGTCCAGGTCGTTGGAAACGTGATGGCCCTTCAGCTGCCTCCCAATACCTGCTCCCCGCGGGCCAGCTCTGCTTCCTCGACTTCTAAGGTGTGGCTCAAGCCTCCTTCCAGGAGTCAGGGAAACATTCCATCTCCACGAACCACTTCTCCCTGGTCTGGCTCCTGCCAGACCCTTCAGTCCGTCTGCTGCCCCCACCCTTGTGGTTTTGACTTTGGAAAGGGTTCCTCCTAAGTGCAGTCTGCTGTGGCCCAGCCCTACTGGGAGCAGGAAGCTGGGGCTGTTTCCATCTCCTTGGAGCGGTCCCTGTTGTGGCCCTCCTTCCTCCACCCCCCACAGGATGGTGGCAGCCAGACAACACCCGCTCTGCCCCCTCCAAGAGCCAGTCAGGTCACTTCTTTCCTTGGCTGGCTGTGAATTACCGCACTGAGTTGCCAAAAGCCAGAAACACAGGCTCAACTGGGCGCAATCTTCCACGCCCCCACAGGGTCCCCTCCCATTTCTGACACTTAGACAGCAGTCGAGGTAGAGGGAATAAATCTGCTTTATTTTCATTATTTCCGGGGTGGCAATGGGGGAGCGAGGGGGTACAGTCCGAGGGTGTCCGGAGCCATCCGGGTTCAAGGCTGGGAGAAGGCAGGTTCTGGGTTGCAGTCGAGGTCATACTTACAGCCGTCTAGAAGGAGAAGTGCAGTCAGGGGGTCGCCCGGCCTGCCCCATCCCGGCCTGCCCCATCCCCACCCCTCGGCCGGCCTCGCCCGGCTCACCCGAGCTGCAGCAGAAGCCGGCGGCGGCGCAGCGGCCCCCGCTCCCGCAGGGCTTCGTGCCGGACTGGCAGGGCGACGGCAGGTAGTTCTCCTGCTGGCAGCGCAGCGCCTCGGCCGTGCCCACGAAGCAGCCCAGCTCGTCCGCGCAGCAGATGCTGGGCCCGAAGCAGCGCCCTTTGCCCCCAGGGCCGCAGGGGAGGCACTGCGGGGACAGGGTCGTGAGCGGGAGGAGGCGGCAGCCCAGGGAGGGGCTTAGGGGGACCCCGCGAGGCCGGGCGGGGTGTGGGGGCAGGGATGCTGGGGTCCGGGCTCGGGACTGCGGCGGGACAAGGCCCTGCAGGGGGCGCTGTCTGGGCCTCGACCGCGGTCAAGGCCGGGAGTCAAAAATCCACTGAAGTCCTTGGGCTCCTAGGCCAAGTCGGGCGGCCGGGGAAGGGAACGCCCCTGTGGCTGTGGATCCCTCCTGGGTCCCTCAGGCCGAACGCAGCAGGACCAGGAGTGGGGCTCTCACCTTGCGCACTTCGAGGTCCAGCGCCGCCCTCTTGCCTCCCAGGGGGCAGTTCTGGATGTAGCAGGCGGAGGTCAGCGCCAGGAGGCCGAGAAGGCAGCAGGCGAGGCTGGGGCCTGCCATGGTGCCGGCGCGCTAGGTCTGAGGTCGGTGGCTGGTGGCTGTCTCTACTGTCTGGCCTTTTTATGCCGGGGCGCCATGCTGGCCCAGCTCTGTCTAAGAGGTTTGTTGCATGACTGGTCACAGTGGGTCGCTGTAGGTCAGGCCATGTGCGTACAAGTCATTGCCCCTCATTTACAGGGCTTGGCCTGGGGTCAAGGTCACCGCGTGGGCTAATGATCTGGGCACATGTTTGAGTGCCATGTGGAATGGAACAGGCTGCGATGGCCTGGGCCACAGAGTAGGACAGGGAGAATTTGGGAGGAGGTGGGTGCAGCCCAATTAAGACTTGAAGCGGAGGGGAGGGGGAAAAAGTGGACATTGGGGCCCCTCCAGGCAGGAAGACACTCCGACTGGACTCTCTGCCCACCCTCCTGGGCCACCACACATAACCACCCTTGTCCCCTCTGTCAGGAAGATTTCCTCTTCTTGAGCCCAAATTTCCAGAAAACTTCCCTGACCTCCAACCTCCAACTCACAGCAACACTCACTTTCCTGCACCTGGGACTTGGATGGAACAAGATCTCATCTTTCTTTAACCTGTAACTGGATCATCAACCTTTCCTTCAAGCACGAGGCAGGCAACAAAGCGCAGTGGGATTGCCAGTACCAGCGCCTCTGTCACGAGTGGAAGTAACAGATAACCTCCTATCACGTGGCAGCTGTTGCAGACGTCTGTGAACATTGCTTACACTCGGCATTACTGCGAAATTGCTGCAGGTATTCAGCAGCCGTTAGATCTCGCTACCTGTTAAGTAAAGAAGCACCTATTACAATATCAAAATGTGCCTTAACATTTTGATACCTGAATATAAATATAATTGGTTTCTTTTGTAATCTGATGTCTTGTTTTCTGCATTTAAAAACATTTTGTGGCTTTTTATGCATTTTTAATATATCTCAAAATGAAAATCAGTTTTTAAAGAAAGACAGGCGGCCTCAGGGGAAGAGGTCCCGGTCAATGTCGTGAACAAGGAAGGACATGCACTGTCCAGATCTCCCTTTACTAAAGCACTTGCCTCCCAGCTTCCGGGACTGTGGTCTGCAGGTGGCCCTCAGCTGGCAGCCCCTCCAGGGCCTGATGTAGCTGCAGAAAGCCACCTGGCGCAGGGTGACACCCTCCCCAGGTGGCCCACATCCAGTGACTGGTTCATTTGGCCCACATGCAGGACAGCTGTGCAGGAGCATTTCGGCTCCGGAGCTCCCCATGGGGTCCGCTGAGGTCTGCGTGGCAGCTCTCCCTCTGCCTGCTTCTGTTTCTACCCCCTCCCTTCCAAAGGTGTGGTCCCCAGGGTCCTCTGTAATAAACATCCTATTTGGTAGGCTCCATCTTGGCCTGCTCCCCCGGGGACTGCACCTACACTAGCACAGAAGAAATGGGAACCAGTGTCAGACAGCCCAGCTTCAGCAGGGCCAGTCCCTCATGCCCCCCGCACCCCAGGAGAGGAGAATGGGACAGCCCCAGACCCTCCTGGGCTCTTGTTGACCCTCTGCAAGAAGGGTGCTGGGGCTGATGGGGCTAAGCAGGTCACAGAGCCCATCTGACCGGAAGTCACTGACCCTGAGTCACCAGCATGAGCTGTCCAGCACAGAGGAGCTGGGGCAGGCCGACCTGGCTTACAAATCAGCAGCAGCTCTCGTCTTCCCAATATTAGCTCATTGGCATTCCTGGCCTAAAAGGCTAAGGCCTTAACCCCAGCGGCAGCCCCAGAGAGGCCTCCCACCCGCCCTGTGGGCACAGTGACCTCACCCAAGCTAACACATGCACATAAATTACCAAAGCACCAGCTTCCCCATCTGACCCACGTTCCTTCATAGGTTGAACAGCTCCTCATGCGAAGATATGAAGATGCGCTGGGTCCCATTACAGATGCTCGGAAACGCCAGTGAACAAAACAGACAAACATCCCTGCCCTCCTGGGGCTTATGTTAATGTGATCGCAGGAGGAGAGGTGCTGAACAACAAATGGATTTCAGTAGGTAAGGACACAAATATAAACAGTGAACAGATTTCAGTACCGGTAAGCATATTGCAGTAGATTAGTGAGTGCTGTGGAGAAACAGGGTTAGGGTCAGAGCAGACGTCTTTGTGAAGATGAGGAGAGAAGCCATCTGGTTATCTGAGGGGCATTCGTTTTCTATTGCCATCTGACGAGTTGCCACAAATTTAGCAGCTTAAAACAGCATTCGCTTATTTCATCACCGTCTGGGCAGGGCTGAGTTGGGCCTTCTGCTCAGGCCTCCCAAGGCTGCAGTCAAGGTGTCACCAAGGCTGCAGTCCTTGCCTGAGCACAGGTGATTGTTGGCAGAATTCATTTCCTTGCAGCTGTCATGTTCAGAGTGGCTTCTTCAAGGTCAGCAACAGAAAGTCTCTGCTTCAAGTCTATGAGAGACCTAAGCCCCCTGTCCAAGGACTCATCTGATTGGGTCAGCCCCACCAGGGTCACCGCCCTTCTAACTCAAGGACAGATTGATTAGGGCCTTTCATTACATCTGCACAATCCCTCCACCTCTGCCATATAAGGTAGCATAATCATGGGGGTGATACCCCATCTCTTTTGCCATATTTTTCTAATGGTTAGAAGAAAGTTATGGGTCCCACCCACATGAAGTAGGAGAAGATTACACAGAGGCGTGGATAGCAGGGGGTGGGAATCACAGGGGCATTTTAGCATTTTGCCTACAACGGACGAGGAGCATTCTAAGCAGAGGAAACAGCAAGTGCAAAGGCCCTGAGGCTGGAAGGTGTCAGGCATGTTCAGGGGACAGCAAGGAGGCCAGTAAATAGGGCTGGAGCGGAGTGACTGAACTCCTGTGGTCAGAAAGGCAATACGGGACTGAGTCACGGAAGGCCTGGCCTTTTCCTCCAAATGAAAGGGGGAACCAGAGAGGGTTCTGAGCCAACTCTGGATAACTTTGGATATTGTGTTGGGAAAAGACTATGGGGCAAAGGTGGGAGCAGGGAGACTAGTGAGGACACTGTTACAGCAATCCCTGTGAGTGATGGTGGGGAGGTGCGCCTGTCGGGAAGTGACCAAATTCTGGGTGCATTTTGAAAGAAGTGCCAACTGGGCTTTGCTGATGGATTGGATATGGGCGGGAGAGAAAAAGAGGAGTCAGAGATGACTCCCACGTTTCTGGCGTGATCAATGGGAAGGATAGAGCTGCCATCAGCTGGCATAGGAACCCTGAGGGTGGCACTGATTTGAGTTGGGAAGAGCAAGGGCTCATTGTGGACACAGTATGTTTGAGAAGTTCATTACACATCCGAGGAGAACTTGGGCAGCCATGTGGATCTGAGAGTCTGGAGTTCAGGACAGAGGCGTAGGCTGAAGATATATAATGTTGGAAATGATCAATATTTCTTGTTTGTTTTTTAGAGATAGGGTCTCACTCAGTCACCCAGGCTGGAGCGTGGTGGTGGAGTGATCATAGCTCACTGTAGCTTTGAATTCCTGGGCTCAAGTGATCCTTCTGCCTCAGCCTTCTGAGTAGCTGGGACTGCAGGCACACATCAGCACTCCTGGCTGCATTTTTTTTTTTTTTTTGAGAGACAGGGGTCTTGCTATGTTGCTCAGACATAGCAACTCCTGACCTCAAGTGATCCTCCCTCCTCGGCCTCCCAAAGTGCTGGGATTACAGGCGTGAGCCACCACACCTGGCCAACAACTTCACACTATCATTAATATCTAGTTCATATTTAATTTTCCCTACTTGTCAAAAAATGACTTTTATGGGTTTTTTTTGGAGCCACATTCTAACCAAGGCTCATATACTGAATTTAATTATTATTTTATCCTGTTTATTTTTTTCTCTTTTAATCTAGAAGAGTCTTTCTACTTTTTTCCCCTATGAAATTGACTTTGGGAAAAGCTTGAGGCAGTTGTCTTGTAGAACGTTCTACGCTCTGGAATAGTGTGATTGTTTCCTCACGACATTTTGGGTCAGGATAGCTCACTGGCAGTGACCTCTCACGTTGTATCACTTTAGGAAGTGTACGATGTCAGGCAGCCCCACTGTGAGTGATGCCAGGTCTGATTGCTCGGCTAGGGGCTGTCTCGCCTCCCCATCTTGCAGGCGCGTGTTTCCCTTGCAATTACTAAATCATCCTTGGAGAGATACATTGGTACTATGTGAATATTCATATTCCCCACATTGATAACTTTTTAAATTGATACATAATACCTGTACATACTTATGGGGGCATGCGATGTTTGGACACACACATACAATGTGTAATGACCAAAGCATGGTATTTAGGACATTCAGCACCTCACACGTTTATCATTTCTTTGTGTTGGGAACATTCGAAGTCTTCTAGCTATTTTGAAATATACAACAAAATATTATTATTATTATTATTATTTTGAGACAGAGTCTCACTCTGTTGCCCAGGCTAGAGTGCCGTGGCATCAGCCTAGCTCACAGCAACCTCAAACTCCTGGGCTCAAGCGATCCTCCTGCCTCAGCCTCCCGAGTAGCTGGGACTACAGGCACGCGCCACCATGCCCAGCTAATTTTTTTCTCTATATATTTTTAGTTGTCCAATTAATTTCTTTCTATTTTTAGTAGAGACGGGGTCTCGCTCTTGCTCAGGTTGGTCTTGAACTCCTGAGTTTGAGCGATCCGCCTGCCTCGGCCTCCCAGAGTGCTAGGATGATAGGCGTGAGCCACCGTGCCTGGCCCAAAATATTATTAACTGTAGTCACTCTACTGTTCTCTCACACCCAGAGTTACTTCGTCTAATTGTACGTTTATGCCCACTAACCAATCTCTCGTCACCCCTTCCCTCTTCCCAGCCTCTAGTAACCACCTTTCCACTCCCTACCACCATGAGATCAACTTTTTAAGCTCCCACATAGCAGTGAGAACATGTGATGTTTGTCTTTCTGTGCCTGGCTTATTTCTGTTAACATAATGACCTCCCAGTCCATCCAGGTTGCTGCAGATGACAGGATTTCATTCATATTTGTGGCTAAATAGTATTTCATTGTGTATGT